TATTCAACATGTTAAAATGTTTGTGAGCACAGACGTGTAAAATAAAGAATTCATTCATTTTATTTACAATAAATAAAATAAGCTGTCGTCCTGTGACGTCTAATATTAAAGTATAACTTGTATTATTGATGATTTATTGTTGACTCTGACCTGTGGTCTCCTCCCAGCATCACAGACGTGTGTCCGTCCCTCTTCACTGCCTGCACTGCCTCTGACAGCCTCTGGTTGGCGCTGCCCACCGCCCTGGCACGCTTCACCCGACCGACGGGCTCGTCTTCAACCACATCCTCGAACTCCAGGTTCCCATAATCCTTCACTACACAGCCTGCAGACGCAGAGTAAAGAAGATGTGACGATGTTAATCGATGTTAATCGATTGTGTGACTGGCCCTTTGATCTGATCAAAGGTTTACATCCTGTTTATCACGACGGAGTTTCGTCATCAGCTGCAGGTTTATTATCGATATTTAAAGAATTCAGAGTAAAAGATGAATCATCCTGATATGATGAGAAATGATTTTAACGTCTGACGTTCGTGTTGAGACACACAAGTCCTGGTTTATTTTCCCAGAATGCTCAGTGTGTAAACATTAACAGTGGGTGTTTGGTTTTGTCTCCTCGGTGGAAACAGGTTTAAACAGACATGATGACCTTCGAACCTTGTTGTCCTCCGTTTCAGGAGACGTGTCCGTCTGCTCGAGCTCAGTTCACTGGCAGAAGAGAAACACTCAACTACACAGATATTAATGTTTAAGTACTTGAAGCTACTTCTGTACCTTGTCCCTGGAGCTTGTGCAGCAGCCCTGCAGCTCGGATCAGGTCCGGTCCTCTGTCCACTCCGTCTCTGGGCTGCAGCAACGACACACATTATGTCTCTGTGAGGACAAAGCTGTCCAAAACTCTGATTCTGACCTGAACCTTAAAACCAGGTGTGAACCCTCAGCCCAGCTGAGGACAGAGACAATTGTCCTCACAGTGTCCAGTGTAAGTGACCGGTACTGCAGACAACCACCAGGGGGCGATGGACATATTTTGGCTTCACTATTGGCAGCCGCTGTCGTTGAGCTCATTAAGTCTGCTGATATTGAACTTTAGGTTAAAACAGTGATTGTCTCTTCACACGTGTCCTTAATCTTCTGTCCACAGTTTGAACTGGTGATCAAACATTAACATGTTGGTTTTCAATCAGCATCAAACTAATTCAACCACAAACTGATCCTGTGACTGTGGACTGTTTTCAATCTGATGACTTCGTCCACATTAAAGCAGCTGTTACACCTGATCCCAGATCATCGGGTTGATAGACGTTAGAATACCTGCCCAGTTTATAT